GTACAGGTGGTGAATTAAGCGAAAGTGTCTGCCAGCAGTGCGAATAGCAGCTTCAAAAGACTTTGCTTTGGGTGTGTCTTCATGCTTGATGTACTCGGAAACAACAGAAAGGGAAGATGTAAAGGCTGTATAGCTTGGTCGAGGAGTGGAGACTTTGAAAATGTCTATTTCAGTATCTTGATCCTTGTCAGTATCTCGATTATTGATTGATTCAAATATTTCGTCAACAGTCCATTCCTCCAATCCACTAGAATGCTCTCCAAGAGGATTGAGGAGCTCGGCAATTGACATCACGTTCCGTTGATGGACAAGTTTGAGCTGTTTAAGTTGTTCAAGATCTTCGGCCAACACAGCCTCAGCTTCGGAATCTGGGACTATTGGGAGGTTAGTGTCCGAGTCTGATGTTAAGACAGTTGGGTCATCGATTATCGATCCATCAGGTTTGCGAGGTGAGATGATCCCAGTCTTGCGGAAGCAGTTCGATATGGTACCTTCACTAACACAAAACCAAGCTTCTTGAGCCAATTTCATTGCATCAAGCTGGTGTATCTTGTAGATCTCAGCAACCGGGATCTCTGCATCATAACGCTTCAGTGAATAGTTGATAAAGTTTGATCGGTAGTGACACTTGAATGAGGCTATGATTCCGGCATCCAAGGGTTGGATATGTGAGGTTAGGTTGGGTGCGAAGAATTCTAACCGAATGTTTGTAAGCTTGTGCTCGGGAGGCTCTCCATGCCCGCTGAAGTTGTCAACTAGTAGGAGGATGTGTCGTTTTTGAACTGCAAGATCTTGGTCCCACTTCGTGATCCAGCTGCTGAACAGCTCAAAAGTCATCCATGCTTTAGTTTTGTTACGATAACAAAAACCAAGACTCTCGCCACTTTTCTTGTTGAAGCATGCAGGCTTGTTTGCCTTGCCAATAATTAAAGGTTCAATCTTTTCACCTTCAGCACTAGCAGCAAGGGCATAGGTCAATCTTTGCTTATCACCTTTAACCCCTGATTTTGGACCAAATGCAAGACCTTTGTCGGGGGGCATGCTAAAACATAAGAAGGTGATTGTTATTGATAAATGTTACACTGTATACATAGGTTAAAGAGAGAACCAACCCGTAGAATAGACCAGTCTCATCCATGTTCCAAATATCTCGTGGATGGTAAAGGTTGGTAATTTCTCGGAGGCGTTGACGCTCGGCAGCTACTGTATCGGGAAGGACGGAGCCAGCTTCTCCGTGCTTTCTTATGTGGCGTAAACCGTTCCGAGTCTTGAATCGAGTGAGCCATCCCTCGCTAAGAGCAAGCCAGTCTTGTTCAGAGATTTTGAAGAGTTTAGCGAATTCACACCACTTGGATCGTATCACATCGCCCGTGATTGTTAAGCCTGCAATGACAGCCTGTTGAACCCAGGCTTGAAGTGCTTCATCAACCTGCGGATGCTCGGATGTGTTCTTTCAGATCCAGTGTGACCAGCTCAATGATTCTCTTGAATCTTGGTCTTGTCTCGGACCCATTCTGAAACGAGTGGTTGCTTGATGTTCAACTCGGGATAGATTTCAGAAAAGTGTCGGGCAGTCTTAGATTGATTGCAACCATTCTGTTCGTACCAATCAAGGACTTCAACTCGCTGAGCCAGAGTTGATTGAGCCTTTGCAGCTTTATTCTTTTTACTTGTTGGCCGGTTATTTTTTCCTTTACTTTCCTCGGCTACACATTTCTTGGAGCCTAAAACATTGAACAACACATCTTTTCAACAAGTGAACAACTCAATTACATCCTGAAGGTTACAACTTACTTGGTCTTTTAGCAATCACCGCTTCCTTGGTCTGATTGAATTTCAAAACCAAAAGTTCCAGTCTCTTCAGCTCATCGTTGTTGAATTGACTGGCAGCCTTAGCCACACTCCCCTCTTCTATGATCTTCCTCAACACAAGTGTTTCATCTATTAAGTTTCCAGCACAGTCTATGAATCTTTCATCTGCCTCTGATAACTTCTTCCCTTCACTGATAAGTTGCTTGAGAGGCTTGAGTCGTTTGTTATTCTCTGTTTGTAAAGCATTGAAACCTGTTTCAATATCTGATACGCTGAATTGTGAAAGGTCTTTTGGAAGCATTTTGAGATTGATTATGCTGAAAAATTCACAAGGATGCGGTTTTTTTATAAATCTTCGTCTTTGGCAAATTTTGGTTATGGCTTTTGACCTGAGTTTCCTAAAAAAAGCTATGGGTCATGGGAATAGTGCGAGGTATGGGTTTTGGGCCACTTTTCCCCGCCTATAAATTTTATGGACCCAAATTTCTATGGGTTAGGCAGAAGTATGGGATTAGAGGGATATGGATTTCGAGGGAGTCGACTGTACGTATGCTCCTTCACTTGAGGTCGGCCAACATCAGGCCGAGGTTGAATACTGATCGGTCCTATAGAGTAGAGCTGCCGCTTTCTATCACGATTGAATTGATATCAAATCCTTTTTAGCGCTGTGTTGATCATCAATCGCTCAAAGCATTCTATAATGTTTTAGCTTAACAAAGCCCTCAATAAAATGTTTGACGTTATTAGGGGAAGAAAGTCGAGCGGTGAAGATAAACAGATCATTTTAGCACATCTCACTAAATTTATACAAAATCAATTTGGAGCGGTCAAATCACGAGGATCAAGCTTTGAAGCTTTGAAGCGGAAGATAGGGTATAAAGTCAAACTAAAGAAGTCATTTGATTCATCTTGAAATCATCTTCAACTTCCAAGGGAGTCGAATCAAAAGAAGAAACCGATGCTCGTTCTTGATTCTTGATTTTTGTTCTTGTATTCTCATCACAAGTTTCTCATTTATCATCGATTTTACGTCGTTCAAAGAAATCTCAGCGACATTCAAGGACTGATTTCTTAGCTTTCCTACGCCCATTGTGAACGGCAGAGAGCTTACTCATTGCTGATTTGCAATTATCCTTTCCTAGAAAGATCATAACCTCGCAGTCCGATCTCTACTCTTTCATCTAGACTTCATTTGTTTTCATACCTTCCCCATCGCCTCTTCATCAATCATTTCCTCAGTAGTGCGTTACCAATCATTGTCTCGTATGAAGTCAACCATCTCCGTTACTTCCATGTCATCAACACGTCACCGTCACGATTATCTGGTATGTTGCTTTTTCTATAAAATATTCGAACTCCAAGTACTATAGGTTCGATCAATTTATACGGTTTGTTTTTCTTTTAGAATTTGGAACCAGTGAAGTCAAGTCTGAGTCTTTTCCGTACGAGCTCACCAACTTATCCCGAATTTGTCAGTTCATTTCTCGCCTACTAGACAACCTCACAGGTTTATTCATAGCTAACATGGAAACACACATTATGGAACATGATAGCTCATTGGGTACCCAGATGATACTAATAGTGATTATTCCTATGGATCTGAATCCGTCAAACCTACTGAAATAAAAGAATGGAGTCATCGACCAAACTCGCAAACTACTACTAGTCTTTCGAATGATCCCATAAGTATGGTGGTTAACCGGATCCTAACTCACGAAAAGGATATCCACAATGAAGTGATTAGAAGTTGGATAGAAGCCACCAACGATCCACTTCCAGATTTAACCAGTTTTACAACTTCAACAATCACAAGCTCAGAGAAAAATGGCGAAGTAGAAAGCTTTTTAAGTGGATCTAATTCTTTACAACCTGTTCTACGTCGCACTCAAAGTCTTGGTCAACTTTCTTTGAAACAAAAACCTTTAAAAGAGTTTGATAGTTTCACTTTGGATTCTGATGTAGATTTCAATCAAATCAAAAAAACCTATCGTTGTACGATTTCTTCGGTAAGAAATTGGATGAAAGATGTTGCTTTGCAAGTTGAACCTATGATCATTTCAGACCAATCTTAGTCAAGTTTGTAAAACGGTTCTTTTGTAAAGCTTTATGTGCTTTTCTATGATCAGTACACATGTTTTGTATCGTTCTTTGAGTTATATTTTTCATCGAACATATTGTTTCTGTGGGTGTTGATCAGTCTTCAGAGTGGTTTCTAAGGTTTCTTTCTTATAGTATTCTAAGTCCATCTTTGATTGTTTTTTTCTTTATTTCTTTTGCTTCACCATGTACACATAGTCACAAAAAACATCAGGAAAAATCTTATCATGTTCTCAAAAATCTATCCTTGGAACATGTACTTCTACATTAGAAATGGTCACTACTCACCAAGACTTCAAAGTTGAAGAGGTGAGAGAAAAGTGAAAGTACAAAGTTTTGAGTTATTAGCACAAACAGTAACAACAATACTACAAGGATCAGAGGTGTTGATTGATCTGATTATGATCAAGTAAAGAAATTGAAAGCATTCTTTGTTAAGCTGATTGAGTCTTTTGCGGTCTCTAGGAGATGAATATGATACCTTCATATTTTCATTTGATAGATCAGGTTTTTTTTGAAAATGGGTTAGTCTGAGTTGCTGAGTTCATCTTGCGATAAGATGTACTCTCTCATCCTGAAGAAAAGGTAATTCATCCTCAGACATTTTGCTTTGAATATCCTCAGATCTTGTTAGTGAAATGGTCATCGGAACTCAGCGTACCATTCCACTTTTTGGTCTGTAAACCTTAATCAAGAAGGAATGCCCCGAGACTCAGAGATATGTACCCAAAGTATCTCCATATCCATGCGGGTTTTTCAACTCCCTTGAAGTCCAAGGGATATAATCAAGTCGACCAAATCTTTGTCCATTTCCCTTGCACTGGATTACCAACAAAACCATTTGCATGGAACATCCTTTATTGCTGAGGTTTGCATAACCGGAGTGGTTTGTTGAGACATGACCATTTGAGGGTTTCATGCACATCCAAACAGCGTAAGAATGGGACTTGGTCAGTGACGACATAGTTTTCAAAAACCTACGCATATATCAAGTGAGGTTTCCCAAAAAGGTTGATTCTAAACTCGATGAATGTGTATATAGCTTGAAATCCATTTCTTTAGGCTACTTTTGGAACCCATCTAATGTAAATCAAGTCACAAGTTTCATTCGTGATGAGACTCAAATGACCTTAATCTTACCCAAAGATACCTAGTATTATCACATTCATGTTTGTCAGACTTTGAAGGTAAAAGGATTTCAAGTAAACAAGGTTAATTTTCATTATCCACATAATCATCCAATCGAAAGAAAAAAACTATGAAATTCGATTGGATTTGAATTGAGCAAGAGATAGGTAATTTGACTTGATTTCGAAAGCTTAATGGAATTGAAAAGTTCATTTAGACAACGATCACAAGTGATAAGATCAAAAGAAAAGACATAATTTAATACTTCACTTTTTAGGGTGATGATCATCAACCCGAAAAACACAAATCGATTACAAGAATAAGACAACTAAGCAAGATGATCATGATAATGATCAAGAAGGTTTAGACGAGACTGAGACCGCATGTATTGTACCTGACGTAAAAGTTTCGATCCCATTAGCCACAGAAGAAAGGACCAGTAAACTATCAGCCATATGTTTAAAAGTCGATCTCATCAATCTAATCCAATTAATCAATTCATCAATAAACCGATCATCATTAACCATAGCTTCAGAAAAATCATCAATCGAATCCAAAACTTTCGTCAAGATCTTTCTATATAACTTTGTGATCCAGCTGATTTGATCTAAAGCTTGACAAAAGTAACTTTGAACATCCAAAAGATGTGAGACTACTAAGTTTCGTCTTTGAGATGATTCTTCTACCTGATTTGAAAGATCATCTTCTTCTACTGAAAGTCTGCCGAGTACTGGCGTCAAACATCCGTCTGTCCAATCATAGAAATCAGATAGATGAACTGATAAATCTGACATTCTAAGTTCTGCTTTGACCACTTTATCTTGTAATTCAGCTAAACGTGACCAAAACCTATGTAGAGAAATCAAAGATTTAAATCAAACTTTAGTTTTCTCTTTTTTTTTGGTAAATGAGAAACCAGTTTTCGAGAAAGGTAAGCAAAATTCATTCAACTGACTTTGTACATTCTACTTCATTCTTCGTACAAAGTCTATCACCTAAAACATCTTCATCAATCGAAAGTAAACTGCCATTGATCGAATAAAGTAGCTGACTTAATTCATACTGAACCGGATCCAATAATAAAGCTAATCTAAGTAAACATTGATCGATGAGTGTACTAGCTTGAATAACTTGATCTGTTGGATTGGAAGTAGATTCCCAAAGATTTAAATGTTCTCTATAGTGTTTTAAAACATTTAAGACTGAGATCGAAAGTTGTGTCATAGATTGTGAAACGTGTGCTAGTTTATAAGGTGAGATTGTAGGATATTTTGATAAACTGATTTGTTGATGTTTTGCTTCAGTTTCTGATACATTTTCAAATAAGATTGAAGAACTGGGTGAAGCTTGACGGAAAGCTGAAGTGGCTCCTAGTTCTGGATCTGTATGTTGTGAACTAGTGGGTTCTTCTTCTTCCATAATCGTATCACCATCATCATTCGGTATCGGTTTGTTCTGTTCGTCTTCCTCTTCTTCTTCATCTACAAATTCTAATTGTTCAATCGAATCATTTTCTTTTTGTATTACACAGAATGAAGTTTGATTGGATGATAGATTAGGTAGATTTGAAAGTGGATTTAGAATCGATAAGCTAGGTAATGATCCTTGTGAAGAGATGGTAGATGATTGTAAAAGATTGATGGGTGCTTCTTGATCATGAATTCTGGTGTTTGATCTAAGTGATCGTTTTGTTTGATATTGAAGAGGTCTTGTGTTAGTTTGAGTTTTCATGTTGGCAGAAGTTTAGGATATCTTTTGAAATGAATCTGGTTTCCATAGTTTAAAGAATGTTAGTTTGAATGAATGAGATAAATAGTCAGTTGTTTGATTACTTACCTTTGAGTTTGTAGTGTTCTTTTGATGATATAGTTGAAGGTGAAGTGGTAGTTTGTTCATTTTTTCTGAATTTCAAGTTGATGATCGAAGTTTTAAGAATTCAATCTCAGTCTAACGCATTCTAATCAATCAAGCTCATCAAGAATTTACATATACACCACCACCTGTAATATTAAGCTCACATATCATAGCCTTAAGCCTACTTAAGTACACCAATGCGCCGCACCCAGGTAAAGCACCACAAACTATGTACCTCCCTCTGCGCGCACTTTGCTCTAACAACCAAGAGAACAAGGAGTTTTTTCAAAGGAGTTTCATATGGGATAAATATTATCAAAAGAGCATTGATAAAACCAATCAAAGGTGTGAAGGTATATGATTAGTGCAGCCATAGAACATAAGAACAAAGCTTAAAGTTCATGACAGTTCGTTCTTGCATATGAGATGGTGGCATTATGGAGCCAATGAACGCATTTGGTCAACTTGAATTACTCTTTCACTTTTAGACCACTGAGATTTGGATAAGTCATTTTGGAAATCAGTTCTGCTCGAGTTTACCTGATCACTTCTGGTACATCTTATCTTCACTACAATGATGAAATCAGAGTGCATACATTACGATAACATGTGCCTCCCATGCTAAAGCTAAAGAATGTATATGAACATTTGATCCATGATTTTTTTTCATTGTTTTAATTTCAAAAGGAAATAAATGAAGATTTAATTCAATGAAATGAGAAAAGACAAATGTGTTGTTATGAACAGAACAACCCTGAGGTTTTGAACTTCCAAGAAAGTCTTCCACTTTTCATCTTTTGAGTGGACAAAACATTTTGAAACCAAAGTCTTACTATTGCGAGCAGGCAGAACGGGTTATTCAGATAAGTTGTAAAGCTTCATCAATACTTCAATAGATCATCAAGCAAAGCTCATGTTCGGAAAGTCTGCGAGAAGTTTTTCTCTTATATCATCTGTTATGCCTTCTGCAAAATTAAATCTGTTGGGGAACTAATTATTTTTAAATCGAGTGAGATAATTTTCAAGAAAATAAAATCAGTCAAGTTATGAAACAATGGTAGAAATCTATTTGAAAGTTTCGAATAAGAAAAAAACATGAATTGATTGATTTGACTTACCAAGTCTCTAAACTTTTCAATCACTTGATTTGGATATCTTGTTTCCTCATACGTAAGTTCTTTAATAGAATTCAAATAAACCTTAATCGCACGACCACTATCCATGGCTTTTCTCCATAAATCTACATATCCTCTATACTCTTGACATAATTCTAATAAGATTAATGATTTTGGTTTCATAGTCTTTTCGTCTGGACCAATTGCGATCTTTTCTTGTTCGAATATCTTTTGCCAATTGACTCTTTCACTTTCTTTTGTGGTAGGTAATAATAATGGATTATGCATCTTACTATAAAAATCTAGAAAAATAAAAACAAATCATGAAAGGTTTTGCAAAATCAATACTTAAACACTTGGATTCAAGATTATTTTTTTTGGAAAAAATAATAATGGGTATGACTTACCAATTCCAAATAAATTTCGTTCAAATTTCGGAAACACTTTTCTATAATAATCTTCAATCTTTTTCAAAACGTCTCTAGCATGATTTTCATTTCCAAAAAGGTAAACTAAATCTTTCCAAATCCGTTTAACTTGATCTTGATGAATTTTAGCTTGATTATATTCTTTTGTATATTGAATGACCAATTCTAAGAAAGTTGGGTTTGACAATAATTCAATGTTAAGTAATGAATTATGATGGTTTGGTAAATCATGATGGATCCATCTTAGTTTACGTGTTTCGTAATCTGATTGAAGTTCGTTTCCTAGTACACGTAAATCTTGTAATTCTGATGATCCATCATCATTCCCGGCTGTGTTTTTTGGATTCATTGAAGGAGGAAAAATCATCAGTATATAGACTTCTTCACTTCACTTGCTCAGTTCATTTTTTTTTTCTGAGCTGCAGATACAGAGTAAAATTTATTCACGCCTTGGATTGTGTTTATACCAGCCATTCAGCCTCCATGGTCCAGTCTCTGACTCTGATTCCAAGAACGAAAACAAATTGTCAACATTGGTTACTTGTTTGAAAAACTTATGTAAGTGGAAAATTACGAAAAAAAAAATCATGCTTACCTGGTATCGGTATCGGTTCTCTTTCAACCCAATATTTATGACTTGTAATATCTGTTTTTAACCATCTAAAGAATTTTTTGAATCCGCGTCTCATAGATTTCCAAACTCGAGCTAAACCCCAACTTCTCTTGCCCACTTTTTCTTCCACATATTTTGGTAATGCGTTGGATTTCTCATCTGGTGCTTCATTTGAAGGATCAGGTCTCTTGTTGGGTCTTTCTGGGAATTCATCTTCACCTCCGTGTTCTGAGTTTTCAGGTCTTTTTGGTTCTTGTTGATCATTTCGTAGTTCATTCAAATCAGTGGCTATATTTTGTTGTTCATCTTTAGAGGGGTTTTGGTTATGGAGTCCTTTAAGAGCTTCTTGATTTGATAAAGCATCCTTTGAAAGTCGAGTTGCTTGTTGTGCTTCTTCCACTTCAGGAATCGGATCAATAGATGTGATAACCGCAGAGAGAACTGAAGGATAAAATAAAATCCATAAAGAAAAGAATTTAAAAAGATTCATGTTTGATAGAAGAAATCAAAGAAAAAAAGATAAAATGGTGAATCTAATAGAATGGAAATTATCGAGTGGATATCTTGAAAAGGTATGATAAAACGTCTAAGACGAGTTGGAAAGACGTTTTAGACGGAAATCTACTTTGCCACCTTAAAAGATTTGATATTTTACGGAGCTTTAACATCTAGAAATCTACGGTAAAGGCCTTGTTGGTTTGATTGTCTGTACTAGGTAATTCTATAAATTGCTTTCCTTATTACTGCGTTCGCAGACGATTATCATCTTTTATGATTTTAGTCAAGCTTATAAGAAGTATCGAGACATGCTTGATCGAAGAGATTCGTTTTGCAAATTCCCGTAGGACTTACTGCGTAACTAGTCGTAGGATCTGTTTTGTCCTTTGTCCTTTGTCCATTTGAACATTTCAAAACCGAAAAATGATACGCAGAATCTGTAGTTGATTATAACTGATACTCTTGCATGCAATATCTTACGATTTCATTAAGTCTTGACGAATTTAAAAAGTTTCTGATGACTTGAAATTCTTATAAGTGTATGTTTGAAAGGCTGCTCTTGCTTCGATATGACAAATGTCAGTGTGCCCAAAAAAATTACACATCTGGTAATGTAGTATCATGGTCTTTCCGATTCGTCCCTCGCTCGTTATATCGGTATACGTACCTTGTGAAGGACTTTTACTGGGTGTGTGGATTGACCATAGAAAACCTTGGTCCATTCAATTTCTCTTTAATTATATTGATGTACTTTTAGCGATGTTAAATTTTCTTCTGATCAGTTCTTATCATCTGCTCTTTTTCTCTCAAGTCCATCAAAGGCCCTTGTGCTTGTTTGTAAGACCCTTTCACCTTAGCAATCTACATGCTAAGCATGTATCAGCTGAAACTTTTGGATAACCAAGTTTTGGGAAAACCATTACTTGAATCTACTTGGCCTCAGCTCGTCAAGCTACATGTTCATCCTGAGGTGGATTTAAGAAACTCTGCCCTTAGAAAATCTCAAGCAATTGAAGATGAATTGTGTACTAGTTTTGTTGGAAAATCATTCCAAGGAAGGCAAATCGGTAGTGGGACGCTGTTTCTGACTTGGATCATCATCTAATTCTTACCAAATCGCCCTACGCGAGCTTACTTATGATTCCTCTATATTCATCCTGTTTTTAAACTGATTTTTAACCCTTTTATAACATTGTAAAATGATAACTTCAGATTTGTAACTAGTGAGGCTTTGAAATGACAGATAAATGATATAAAGTCTTTGTTGCTCGTAAAATAGACACTGAATATAGTTTGAAAATGAGAGAATCCTGGGTTATACCGCAAGGAAGTGATCAAGTTTCATCTTGAGACTGCAGAAGAAATCCCACCAAAGCGTTTTTTCTATGAAGTTTTTGATTTTGGACATCACCCACGAGCAATCGGACTCGGGTATTTACATATGTATCCGGACTGTACCGTGACCTGGGTGGTAACTTTGTGTCTGACATTTTTTCTTCTCATTGACTTCAACATATTTTTCACCAGGACTTGAGATTCTCAAGACACTCTCCAATCAATTCGATCAACATCAATCAAAAGTTTTTCAACTATCAAGTATCACGAGATGCCGAAATCTAGAATCCCTTCACCCTCTTCGTCATCTGAAGCAACAAGTCCTAAACGAACCAGACATATCTCACCAAATCGAGATCCCAAACCAGTAGTAGTAGCTGATACATTTGAAACCGAAGCATCTCGTCAAGTCAAAGCAACAGCTGGATTACTTCCACAACAAGATATAGCTGAAGGAGAACAAGTCACTTTATCACATCAAGTCCGACATCAAGTTGCTATTCCACCCACCTATCCTTACGTACCTATCTCAGCTCATAAACCACCTATCAATCCAGCTAGAAGTTATCCTTTTACACTTGATCCATTTCAAAAAGTATCGATCTCTTCAATCGAAAGGAATGAAAGTGTTTTGGTTTCAGCTCATACAAGTGCTGGTAAAACTGTAGTGGCCGAATATGCAATTGCTCAATGTTTGGCCAATAAACAAAGAGTGATCTATACTTCTCCTATCAAGGTTTGTCTATCACTCAATCGCTCAATCACTCAATCATACGTGAATTTTATAAAGGACACTTTCATTAATCTTATCAAATTCTTCCAGGCACTCAGTAATCAAAAATACCGTGAAATGACCGCCGAGTTTGGTGATGTGGGATTGATGACAGGTGATGTCACAATCAATCCGAGTGCTTCCTGTTTGGTGATGACAACTGAGGTAAATTCATTCTTTACTCACTTTTTATGACCAGATCATGATATGATACTTATCCACCGCTTGAAAACAGATTTTACGGTCTATGTTATATCGAGGTTCTGAGATCATGCGAGAGGTTGCATGGGTGATCTTTGATGAGATTCACTATATGCGAGATAAGGGTACGTGATTTTCGCTCCTTTTTAGGTCTTCATGCCACACGCATACTTATGCTGATAACTTATGTCATTTAAAGAACGAGGTGTGGTGTGGGAAGAAACCATCATTCTATTACCTCACACCGTGCGCTACGTCTTTCTTTCAGCCACGATTCCCAACGCGATGCAATTTGCAGAATGGATATGTAAAACACACGATCAACCGTGCCATGTGGTCTATACCGATTTCAGACCTACTCCACTACAACATTATCTTTTTCCTGCAGGTGGTGATGGAATTCATTTAGTAGTGGATGAGAAGAGTGTTTTTCGTGAAGATAACTTTATGAAAGCTATGGGCTCACTGAAGGATTCAAAAGGAGAAGATCCGGCTAGTGCTAATTCAGGTCGAAACAAACAAGGCAAAACTAAAAAAGGTGGTACCAAGGGTCCTTCTGATATTTATAAAATCGTGAAGATGATCATGGTAAAGAACTATAACCCGGTAATCGTTTTTGCTTTCTCCAAACGTGAATGCGAGGCACTGGCTTTACAAATGTCGAAACTTGAATTCAACTCAACAGAAGAAAAGGATACTGTCGAAACGGTTTTCAATAATGCGATTTCAGGTCTTTCTGAGGACGACCAATCTTTACCTCAGATCGCTCATATTCTTCCACTCTTAAAGAGAGGTATTGGTATTCATCATGGTGGTTTACTACCTATCTTGAAAGAAGTCATTGAGATTTTGTTCCAAGAAGGTTTGATCAAGGTTCTATTTGCAACTGAGACTTTCTCTATCGGACTTAATATGCCAGCCAAGACTGTAGTTTTCACAACGGTACGAAAGTTTGATGGTAAAGATTTTCGAAGTTTAAGTTCAGGAGAATATATTCAAATGTCAGGTCGAGCTGGAAGAAGAGGATTGGATGATCGAGGAATTGTGATTATGATGTGTGATGAACAATTGGAACCCACCGTAGCTAGAAATATGGTAAAAGGAGAAGCTGATCGATTAGACTCGGCATTTCATCTTGGTTATAATATGATTCTTAACTTGATGCGAGTCGAAGGTGTAAGCCCGGAATATATGCTCGAACGATGTTTTTATCAATTTCAAAGTAGTGATCAACTTCCAGTACTTGAAAATGGTGTGTACCTCTTTTTTCATTCCCACATATCATGATTTTCTTTCTGATTTCTTGCCCTTTTCTAACACTTTTCTTTATTTACAGAGATTCGAGGTCTACAAGCTGCCCGAGCTGAGATCACCGTTCCGCACGAAAGCTTAGTAAAGGAATACTACGACATACGGCACGAATTAAATATTCAAAACCAAGATTTACGTGAAGTTATCAATCATCCAACTTATTCATTACCTTTTCTTCAACCTGGTCGACTTGTCAGAGTCAAATTCGGCGAAATTGATTATGATTGGGGATGTGTAGTGAATTTTCAAAAACGACTTGGTGATCGAGGCAAACCACTGGGTCCAGACGTACCGGCTCAACAGACTTTTATAGTCGATGTACTTTTACACATTGCTTCTGCACAGGAAGTTCAAAAGGGGAAGGGTACGCTGGGAGGTTCGTCAAATTTTGTTAAACCTTGTCCAGAAGGAGACGCAGGGGAATTTGCAGTGGTACCAGTGTTACTATCTACCCTAGACGGTATCTCTCGAATTAGGATCTTCTTACCCAAAGATCTCAAGCCCCTGGAGTCTCGCCAGACAGCATTAAAGGCAGTAAAAGAAGTTAAGAGGAGGTTCCCAGAAGGAATTGCATTACTTGATCCAGTAGAAAATATGGGAATTCAAGATGAAGAATTTCATAAATTACTTAAAAGGATTGAAACATTAGAATCTAGCTTAAAGAATCATAAATTAATTAAAGAAGACAAATTAAGTGAATGGTATGAATTGTATTCTAAAAAAGAACAAATCTCAAATTCGATTAAACTTATACGACATAAGATTTCCGATACTCATAATGTGATTTATATGGAAGATTTAAAGAATCGAAAAAAAGCGTTAAGAAGACTTGGGTTTAGTAATAAAGATGATGTGGTTGAAATTAAAGGAAGGGTTGCATGTGAGATTAGTTCGGGTGATGAGTTGTTATTGACGGAAATGATTTTCAATGGTGCTTTTAGTGAATTAACACCTGAGCAATGTGCAGCATTACTTAGTTGTTTTGTGTTTACCGAAAAAGTAAGTTGATTCGTATATCGAAACTCTTGAAGAGAAATGTATTGATATCATATGAACTTTTTTTTCAATAGAGTGAACAGATTACGAAACTTAAGGCTGAATTGGAAGGACCTATGAAGAAGATGAAAGAAGCGGCTACTAAGATTGCACATGAGATTAAAGAAGCTCATATTGCGATTGATGAAGTTGAATATGTAAATTCATTTAAAACCGAAATGATGGATGCAGTTTATAATTGGTGTAAAGGATCTACATTTGCTGAGATATGTAAAGTTGAGTCACTGTTTTGAATTCAAAGACTTTATGACCCCCCCCGAAAAAAGTGTTCTTTTTTTATTATACCTTGAAATCTGTGATTTTTAAAGGATACTTTTGATTGATTGAGTTTTGATTAATTTAGATGACGGATATCTTTGAAGGTTCATTAATTAGATGTTTTAGAAGATTACAAGAATTGATTAGACAAATGTCAATGGCAGCCAAAGCGATTGGAAATGTTGAATTAGAAGAAAAATTTAATCAATCACTTGAAAAATTAGAAAGACCATTAAGTGTAGTATTCAATGTAAGTGAAGATTCATGAATATATATATATAAGAAGATTCATTCTTTTCAACCACTTGACGGGTTCTTTTTTACTGATCATTCTTTGGATTTTTGTTTTGTTTCGTAGCCTTCTTTGTACCTTTGAGTAATCTCAATACGAATTTTAAAAGTGTTGAAATAGGGTATGTTTTAGTTTGTGAATTTTCTGCTTCTTTGTCTGTGATAAGGATTGTTTAGGTAGAAATTTGGTTTGATGAGTCAATTGAGTTTTTATAAACCCGTTCAAAATGCTTTTACAAGTTATATACTTCAAATTCTTTAAAAATGTTATTTTTTTGTTAGCTTTTTTTCCAATGATATGTGACGTTTTGAAATTATTTACAACCATCAAGCTGTGCAAGATATCTTATTGTGAAATTCAAGTTTCTAGTAGGATAAACACTTTAATAACTGAGTATCTTGAAATACCTGCAAAAGAGAATCTTACCAGTCTACGGCGAACATTTGGGTGGTATCTGTTTTTTCTTTTTTTTAAACTGATGAATATTTTTACCAAATCATGTTGAAATTTCCAAATTGTGGATATCCCAATTCAAGAATAGGTTATACTTGTTGTACCTCATCATATAAACCGTATTCGAGGCTCACTTGAAAATAGCAGAAAACACTTCCTACCCCGTTCACAAGTGCGTGATTCAATGCGGCACATAATCCATCGGAAGGTAAAAACCTGAAGCTTGAAAGAATCCGCGTGGAAAATTTAGTATGTATGTATCTTTGTAAATTCTTGCACAGCTGGTTGTGAGAAAAGTAGATCCCTCTAGCGCTAGGATTCTCTGTTGTCTGGGGACAAGGTAAATCAGCTAGTTCATGGGCCAGTGATCTTTGTTTGATTGTCTTGGAGAGACTTTTTGAGAGGGTCCAAGTTGCGGATCCATAAAATTGATCCAGGCCAGCCTCAGTTGTACTTAGGTTAAGCTCAAGGGTAACTCTGAAGTTGCGGTACATATCGAATCTTACGGTATGGATATGACTCGATTGACTGTGATTCTGAAAATGAAGCAAATCGTTCTAATTCAAGAAACATCAATGTCAACATGGCTTCTTCAACTTTCAAACTCTCATTCGGTCAGGTCAAATCAAGTGAAGTAGACCGAGTCTTTGAGCTCGAATCCGCAGGCTTTCCATCAGATGAAGCCGCCTCACTGGAGACGATCAAGTGAGTCATCTAAGCTTTGTAGACATTCGAACCTCAACTTGACCTGGCCTTTCGACTTGCGAACAGGTATCGACAAACGGTTGCCTCTGATCTCTTCATCGGTGCATACGATCCTTCTAATCAGTTGATCGGATACATCAATGCCACTCGGTCCACCACCAGCGTTCTGGATCACCAATCAATGACAACTCATCAACCCGAGGGACCGTATATCTTAATCCACTCGGTTTGCATTGAGGCAGCTCAGCGCCGTAAAGGTCTCGCAACAACCCTTTTGAAACACTATATCGACCTATTCAAAGGCTCGTGTAGCGAGCTTCTCCTGGTGTGCCATCAAGAGTTGAAGCCCTTATACTTGGCAGTAGGATTCCGCGATTTAGGGAAAAGTGACCTTGTACATGGTGGTATCGCTTGGTGGGAAATGCGACTGAGCATGGATACAGATGTGGCTACTCCTCAAGCCCCCATCACCAATCCAAGTGATCTGATCTGCCCGGTCCCGCAATGTCGATGTGTGATCCTCAAAGCTGGAGTAGGAAAGCTAATCGAAAAGGAAACTAGTCCGGTATGTGATCCTATCCAATCAAAAAGGTGACAGTTTGATCTAATTCATTCCTTTTTTTAAAAAAGTTACCGGTACTCAAACAGGAATCAGAACGGGTCACATCATCAAAAACGAAATGCTGGGTTGTACCGAACCCCTTAAGTTTTGAAAACATTAGCTTTACCCGACCAGTGGGTCAATCGAGTAAATTAGTAGGAAGTGAAATGCGAATTTTGGCTTGTGGTGCATGTGAATTTGGTCCATTAGGTTGGACATCTTCATCACAAAATTTAGCTGAAGAGTTTTCTAAAAACCCATCAGGTAGTTTTTCAACTGTAGAGTTTTTACTTGATTGTGAAAGAGTTAATCCTGCTTTATGAACTTTTATTACTAGAAATTCAATTTGTTCAATGAAATGGGGTAAATGGTCTATGGACTCATTAAGAAGTGTAACATATTTTGATCCATGTGACAAAACCCAAAGGTAATCAAATCCCTTGTGTATCACTTGTATACTTCCTTATGCTCAGACTGTCGGGAGAAACGCGTCTCTCAAGGCTGTTGTGAGCTAACCACACATTTAATCAAGAAGACAGTGATCACAAAGCTATCGAATAATTTGAGTGGCGGAGTCGAAGGTGGTTCACCAGGGTGTTTCAGTCATTTTTTTGGTGGACATCCTTTCAAGTGATCGAGTACTGTTGCCTCACACAGAATTCGAAGCAAAAACTATAGATGCATAGAATACAAGCTGGAATCTCATCTCGGCCGCCAATTCGCAACAGGTGACTTGGATAAACTTGTTGATTGTCAACAAGCTTCTTTTTACATTTGTATCATCAATCAACATTGAACAGAGTAGAATATTGTCAGTCCAAACCCAAATTGTCATCAACAAAACAGTTACTAGATACTTATCCTGAAATTTATAAACTTTGGCATATATCCACTCAGATGATCACGAGAGCTTGAATTGGAAGTTTTGAAAAAGAAATCATGTGATTCAGACGTGTTTGAGCAAGCGGATGAGTGCGGGTTTATGATGTAGGACTAGAGCTCGCGCGGGCAAGCCCGTTCTCAGTCCCGTCTGAATTCAATATTCCAAAATTTCCAGCTATTACGCGACTAAAGATGCAATCTGGCACGTACCCAAAAGGCCAGGTAAATCAGTTTCTTGTTCTCCACAAAAACTCTGCTACATAAGTTCACCGAAGTCCTAATGTTAAAACTGCAAAGCTTGACATGGTAACTTCATCTCACACTATTTATCAGTATTTCATTCCTGTTATATATTAATGATGCTCAACATCAAGATGAAATTTGTGAGGAGGCAATTATGAGAGACTCGTGAGCAATGGATGTACGCTGATCTGATACTCTTATATAGGCGCTCCATCAATTTCTTTCAATGCAAGTTTACCTTGTAAGGTTTTGACACAATTGAACCAAACAAAACACCTTGATAAAGGTGTAGACAGACTCCTCAGCTTTTGTATTGATGAGACACAGCTGAACAACAGAGATGTGACAAGGTCTAAAATCAATAGACCTAACAAAGATGATAAGAAAGTCTAACATATTGCAAGATAGAAATGAAAATGTCAAACACAGTAGAACTGCACATTCAGGCCAGGCACTATTGGATGAAAGATAACCAACACCTTACCTTTAGAATCTTTTTCTTTGACAGAGGAAAAAAATTCTGAAGACAAACAGAGGCACATATATATGAGAAAAACATAAAGACAAGGTAGGACAAGGTAAGCTCTTCTGCTGCTCCTTGTACTATTTTTAGCCTGTCACCACTTCCAGATTGTGAGGAAATTTGATTCCAAGTACCAAGCGATTTTGACCGGTTCAGCACACATGTAGACCTGCGCTCTGAGTATGACCCGGACTTACAAGACCTCAACAGCGCAAATTTGTCAGTTCACTCAAGCAAAGTGGTAAGCTCTTCTGAATTAATTGCAAGCTTCTACAACTTTCAGAATCAGAGCCCTCAAAGAGGATTTCAAGCAAAATTGCTTGAAAATCCTGCTGGTCTCAGGCCAACGTCCGGGTATAAGTCCTATTGGGCTTGTGGTTATATTTTCCTTGAGTATTTGGGTGGTCCCTTGAAAAGCACGAGCAAAGTCCAGTGTCTCAGCGGGTTGGAGCACAAAGGCAAGATTGTGGGCAACACCACCTGTACTCGAAGCCCAACCAGTGCTGTCGCACGCTAAAATTCACATGTAGCATATCATTACGTGATGTTTCACCCCGTGTGAAACTTCAAACGTCAGTTGTTGCGACACAGGATGCGACGGGCTTTTGCCCACTTAAATAAGTAACACAGATCATAAGAAGCTCTAAGAAGTCCTGCTAGCGCATGTTGCTATATATGTTTTGTATTGCCGCATGTAATTAGCGCGGGCAGAAAATGCAGGAAAATGCTCTGTGGTGTATGTATGCAGTCCCTTCTCAGGATCACACAATTGAAGCCTCTCAGCATGTTGGGAGATGCGCTGGTGATAAGCACACGAGCACCCGCCGAAAGTTTAAAGATATTTTAGGAGCAAAGTTTACTGCAGCTCTGACCATGGGTTGATCGGCACTGTGAGCAGATACAGTCAAACCAGAAAAGCTTGTCACAAATTCCCCGCCAAATTGCTCGAGTTTTGCGGGCAAAATCGGTCAAGCTTTTCCGATTTGACTGTAGTTGACTCATCCGCTTTATGGTTCGGTGAAAGACGTCTTTTCTCACCCTTTTGAATTTTCTGTCAGTTTCGACTTCCGTTTCGCATGTCACCGCCCTACCTAGCCTCGACAGTGAAGTTTTCTGAACCAAGCTTTGAACTGAGTTTGGCAGGTTTGGTAAGTTCGACTTGATTCCGTGACTCTGAATAGGTTTTTGAACTCGGTGATTTTCGAATCTCCGCACTGTCGTCACCGAGGCTACCGAAGTCGCTGCCGATCACCACGTGATAGATTGACACCATATGTATATGCGGCTGGGATATCGGCTGCTATCGGCATGCGTAAGCCAGCAAGGGCCAGGATCACCTTGACAGCCTCGAAATTCTAGCTTAGATGTGGGCGCTGGAAACAGGTCTGGAATCTGGGATGCATAGTTTCGGCCGCCATTGTTGGTCATATTTTACGAGTCAGACGCGAAGAAACTACGTATCAAGACGTTGAAACCGGCTTCTTTGTCAAAGGGATCAAGTTATTTGCACACCTACAAATCTGTTCATCCTTCTCCATCCTTCCTCTCAACACGGACGATTCTCTGTGATTCTTGTTCGGTCACTGGATATCTGTAAGTAGCTATTCCGCACACGCTGAGCCCCCAGTTTCTCGAGGTGATATTAGAGCTCAAGCTTTAGTGCGCGGCCCAGTTGTAGATCTGCTACGTTGGTGGTGACGCATGAATCATCTTATAAGCTTATTTTACCGTCACTGTTACCGATCAAGCCGGTGCGCTCTCAGTTCCCCCCCTTCATTTCTCTCCGTGAGTCCCATTGAATTCTTTACAAATTCGCTCCTACATTCGCTCTGGGGTTTTCCTACCAGTAGTGCGTTTTACTGATTTCTTGCATGTTTCCTCCGCTTCCAGTCTGTTGGTGACACTCGGATTCCTTTCCGATCATCTGTGGCACTTGTTACCAGTCATACTTCTTCCGTTTGTCGATCCCCTACCGCAACGCTATCCACTGGTTTGGTTGCTTTCCGCTGAAACTCGGCCGTCGTCAAGTATATTGAGAATAACATCATCCACATTCGGAATCCTCATACGCTACCTCGCAGTTGTCCTCACTTACATCTGCTTGCTTCACCCCCACACTCTGGCCTCGTTTATCTCCCCAATTCTTCATCGGTTTCCTCCTTGCACTTGCAGTTCTTTCGCATTATTGTGTACCTTGATACCCCATTCACCACACATTCGTCTAATTCTCCATTTGAATAGCCTATTGATAAATTCTTTCAATCTCCCTTTTGATCTTTCCCATTTGTCTATCACAATTCCTCGTGGAAAGTAGAAAACATAGCATTATCCCTCAGAATCAAAAGTCAAACATTCAGAAAATTAGAACTGTAATTAATTAGTCTGTTAATCTTTGGCCTTTCATATTACTATCCTCGCCTACTCACCTTCTTACATATTCGAAAGGAAGAGTACAAAATGCGAACCCTCTCGGAGTGGTTTTTTGCTCAAGCTTACAATTTATCACATCGACGGCCTCGATCGGACCGCCCGCCTCGATCTAACAAATCTTTTGACTCGGATGATAAAGATGGTCATACCTTGTTCTCTGAACTTCCCTCTCGTGCGACCTCAAAGACCAGTAATCATTCGGAACAGAAGGCATCAAATCCACAAACGTCTAATGATCAATTAACGATTCCTGAAAACCTTCGACCAGCACTATTAGAGGATGGTAGTCATCCATATTACCCTGGCACACCTTGGGGAGACTTGGAGCTGGGCTCAACGATCGATGACGGCTGCAAGCCCCGTCGTGATAGTCAATTGCTTCCCAAACGACTTCGGGCCTTCCGCCGCAAGACCCGACATAGTACCGCTAGTGCTTTTCCAGGATCGTTGCAGCCTATGAAGGCTCCTCCTGTGTACCTACCACCTTATCTTGGAACACTTCGCAGCACTCATCGAAAATCACTTCCTCTCTGAGTTCTCTTGGCATGAGCATTTTTGCTCAATCCCCGAGATTTTCTGGAAATGATCCTTTATGACAGTAAGTAAATGGTTCCTACTACATTTTGAAGATGTATTTTTGACATTATCATCCATAATTTAGGATACAGCCGAAATTATCTTGCACATCAACACACTCCACAAAACTGCTTAGGCCTTTGGAGGTCTATCTTCCGTCAAAGCCTTTAACCCTGAACATACATACTCGGTTTCTGCCCTTTTCTCGATTAAGTGACATCGTCCAATACACACTCGTTTCAATATACAAAGCACCCCCACTCCGGCGCGGACTCGATTTTTCTATCTCTCTCTTTGATGTCTAAAACTCCAATGAAGGTTTTGATATATCTGTAAATAATTTGATCTTCTTGTTCATATCAAGCGGAAGAAAATAAAAGACTCTTTCCTCTGTTTTTCTTTTTTCTTTATCAAAACGCTCTACTTCATTTCGTTTTCTTTGTGTTTTTTTTTCTGCACTTGGTTTTTCTCTTGGGTTTTTTTCGTGTTACTTTTCCTTGGGATATATTAGATAAATTTGTTTCGTACATGGTTTTGGTCATTGAGCCTTTTAGTTTTAGTTTTACTTCTAGTCTTAATCAGCTTTTGTATTTTAGGTCTTGTCAGTTAGAGCATCCATCAAAATCATTTGCAAATCTACTTCGATGGACCAGTGCAATATGTCCAAGCATTTATCGATTGAAATTGGTGACTTGAGCTTTTGTACCTTGATTTCGGGTGTGTCCCAACCCCTCTGAGATTGTGATGGGACCAGCTGGAGAGTTGTCAGCATATATTTGGCAATCGAGTTAGCAAGCAGAATGTTTCTTGTGAATGTAAGAGTTGGTGTGGACTTGGTACCAGATGGTAGGTTATGGACATTTATCAGAGGTTGCGTGATTTGTCTGTTTAATTTGACTTCATTGGGTACCTCTGCTTCCCCCGGTTAAACTTGTCGATTATGGAGCCTCTGATGCTCTAGACACAAAGATAAATGACGGGCGTCATTTTGGCTGCACGCGAGGGCCTTGAGGACACTATATTCTCATCACCTCTCTTAAGATCTTGTTCCTTTGAATGAAAAAGTTCATGCGCTTGTTAATCTATTGATATCGCTATTGCAGGGAGAAAAGCAAGTGATATGGTAATGTGCTTTAGCAAGATTTGAGAATTGTAAGAAGCTCACAGAGAAACATTATGACATATGGAACACGAAGTGGAAAGACAATAGATGTGAACCATGTTCTGTTCAAACAATCTTAATGAGCAATTGTAGAGTGAAGAATCAATGGTCTTTATGAGCATCAGGAAAGTCAATGTATTTGAGATTTGCTCAAGATCTTGTAACCACAACAAAATCCTTACCAGGACAGAAAGCACAAGTTAAAGAGAGAATTAAAATAGATGAATAGATCACTTCTGGGAAGAATTCATATGGCTAGGAAAAATGTGGAAATGATGACAGGCAGGAAACCTCACACGCAGTAGGCTTTGTAAGTCTATCCACATAAGAAAGATGATATCATAGAAATCAATTGTCTGCGTGAAAGGCTTAGGATAGTCTCGAAGGGATTTTGATATCTAAAAGCTTGGAATGGTTATGATCATATCATTTGAGAAGGCACTGGGTGTAATAGAGTTGCAAAAACTAACAGGAAAACTGGACGATGAATCATGCCCAAACGTGGCTATCCAAACACTTCAGCTGAGACAAGCTTATTGCACAAAGTACTTGATCACATCGCATGAAAGAGAGGCGATGCTTTTGATGGACTCAAGACATAAAAACAAATGCTCAGGAGTGATGAAAAGAAAGGTCTTATCGATGAAATCGAAAGGAAAGAAGGATAAGAGCAAGGATCCCTTTGTGCCAGCAACATGATCAGTTCGAGAATACTTCAAAAGGTACACGAAGGCGTGTTGACAAAGTACTGAAGTAAAACACCTGCAGTTAACTTCTGATGACAAAAAAGTGTTCTTCGAATATTTCAAAGCTTCACTTTGCTTGTGATCACAAATGTTATCTAATGTGTGGAAGAAAGTGGTACCTCATCATATCACCAAAACAGAACGCTTTAGTACGTACCCGTTGAAGCGCTACACAAAATTTACCTTTCTCAAGCCTGAGCGCCTGCACGTGTTTGTTCTTTCCACTGATGCATCGTACCGGTGGTAAGCTTAACTGATATGATTGCCTAACTTCAAGACCTCAGTAATCACCAATCAAATGAGATGGCATTGGCATGCACCAAGTTCATTTCCAAATTCCTTCGGGTTAGAAAATAATCACGATGTTCAGAAGAGAAGATGAGATATTCATTTTTATATAGATGAGAGCTCTGGTTGATTTCCATGATTCAAAAGAACCCATATGAAGCGCAAGATATTCCATCCGAACAAAAAAGACACATTGACTCATTCATTTATTTGCTTGTTTCGGATTTAATTGGCCCATGTTACGATTATAATTGGCTTTTTGGGATTGGGTACTAGAAAAAACTAAATCAAAGGTAATGAAAAGTTGATGTTAAGGAAGAATTGAGTAATTGTTGATAATTAAGATTGCCTCGAAAAATGATTTCCAAAATGGTGATTGACATTGCAATGATACTATTGTATAATTTAGCTGTACTTGATATGGATTGAAATGAGCTTGAATTGCATATTTAGTTGTTAATGCAAAAGTGATTTAGGCTCTCAATGGGCTTGGAGGGTCTTGCAAAGTCATCATGTTCAACATATGAATTGAACATAAACCGAAAATGATCTTGTGTATGGACTTAGAGGCAGTAAGATCGCCTCCTTTCAAGAACCTTAGTAGTCACAAATTTGATGAAATAGAGATTACAGTTTTAAACAAAAGATCAAGATCAGTAAGCAGACCGGATATAGATGACACGTGAGTACGCTCGCATAGGTTGATCTAGCTGGTATTCTTCGACTCAGGTTTGATAGTATACAAGAAAGGAAACTGAAGTATGTGAGAAAGAAGCCTAGGTTCGAAGTCTAGAGTAAAGTGGTAAATTGTGAATAAGAAAAGATCGAAACATGTGAATTTAACAAAAAAACCAAGCGAACTCACAACACTCAAATCAAGGCGAGTAAATTCGTCGGATGATACATGAGTACATACTAGCCTCCTTGCAATACTTTTCTAACGCAAGAAATTGATCCTCAAGTTCCTGAGATTGAGTACCAAGATCCGAACCGTTTAAAAACATCCATGGAGCTACATCCAGCTTTTTGAGCTGAGGCCAAGTAGCTTTGAACAGAGTCCTACTGAGTGCCCTACAATGTTCTGATGTCATGTAACACCAATGAAGAGAGTTCAGAGTGTTACATTCTTCAAAGCTGTCCAGTAAGTTTGCATCGCCAGTACAGAGCTCTAAGTCGGTCAGATTCGGAAGAGAGAAACGAGTTTGAGGATCCCATCTGGAATCGATTTCCTTGATCTCTCCACCTCTCTCATAGGCGAATCCAAGCCTGAGCACTGTTAAATAAGGAGCAATATGATGAATGATTTTATATGCTGAACTTAGAGATAAATCACCACATTCGTGGAGATCAAGAGTCGTGATAGTTTTTGGCCAATTATAAAGACACCAATCTTCATCTATATCTTCAATTCTCCATAACTCTAATTTTGATAAATATCTAAGCTTTGATAAATTGGACCCGAAAGAATTTTCGCCTGTTGTTCGCTGATTTCCAGGTGCTGTAAGTCCACCCATTGTTAATGATTCGAGTAAAGGTAAACTACCAATGATTTTGGATGGAAATTCGTTCATGATAGTCTTTTGATATCCATCCTTCAATTTCAAATGTCGAAGTTGTTTAAGGTTTGATAATATTGGAACAAGTTCTAATAAAAAGATTTCCGTTCCACCCACGTTTTCAGGTTTTGCAAGGTATTCGTATTCGATATCTACCTCAGAAACGTTAGGACATCCATTGATTAATGCTTTTGCATTTTTTTGTGAGATCCATGCTACATGATGATATTTATCCTTATAAGGTGTAAGGTTATCGTAGAAAGGATCGATTTCTACGAATTCATCAGGAGGTACACTGCAGTTTTCAGAGAGTCCAATGGATAGGTATCGGACATGTTGGCCTTGTTTGAAGAGGATGTCCTTTGTCCATTGGTCTATCGGAGCTGGAAGACTAGTTGGAAACTGTAGTTTCTGTACATAGCAGGAAGAGTGGATGAATGACGGTTAGAAAGCACTTGCTCTTTACCGATTCATTATGGAAACAACTCACTCGCCATAGCAATAGTTGACAACGTTTATAAATTTCACGCGAAGTAAGTGAGAAGCTTTGTATACTATTCAGGATTGGCGGGTCTTGGTATAAGTATCTGTAATATGGCTCCCGATCACCTGGGCCTGTAATGACGACCTTCCGTTTCTTTTTCTTTTCTGTTAGTTCTTTAGCTTCAAGTTTAGCAATACAATCAAGTGTTTCGAGTATTTTTCCAAAGATCTCGATAGGTATATCCATAAGACCTAGGGGATGAGCATTGTGTAGGATTTCTTCACTTTGAAGAACTTCTTCAATTTCATCAGATGAACAGCGAGATTTGTCGACTGTGTCGATAGATGAGAAAGGCCCAGGTTCATGTAGGCTTTTTGGTTGGGCGAGTTGAAGAAAGATATCAAGAATTGATTCTTTTGACCAGATGAACCCTTTGGCTTCGAGCTCGTTGAAACGATTTCGAATAAAGTCGAGATGTTGGTTCACGGGGTGAGTTCCCTCTGGAGGTTTACAGATAATTTCACGCCAAAGTGCAAGGTAAGATGTGAGACTAGAGGATGACATCTTGTTAAGACTGATTGAGAGGCTAGTTGGTTGTAGCTTCAAGAAGCTCAAGTGAGAGAAAAGAGCTGTGACGCTTTGATAGACTATGGATGGTCTCTCGAGATTAGGTTATGCTAAAACTTGAGTATCCCATTGGATCCACTGAAACCACCCTATTATCCAAATTACCTAACAACGTGAAAGGGTGTTATGAATAATACCGTTGATGAGTAAGCACAATGATCGGATGCTTTTGATGAACCCAAAACAAAAGGATAAGTCTTAAGAATTGACGAGAAGAAATATTAATATCGACAGAAGTGTTCAAGTCAGACCCTGAATTTGTTTGGTGAACAAGTCAACAGGCCCAGTTCAACACCACTTCAAATTCAAGGTACGCAAAGGTGAGTCGACAAAGGACAGTAGTGAAACACCCGCAGGAGATTTAACCTGGTGAAGTCTCTTAACAAAGTTAAATTTGCGAGGACGCGTAGTACAAGATATGTTGAAGAGGAAATCAATTTTTGATGACAAAAGAAGCCTTCTCACTAGCTATCAAAAAAATCCAGAATTTGATTCATAACGAACAATTTCATCTTCATATCATTATGATTATTCGTGTGATCTATGTACAATTCATCAGCATCCCAAAGCTTCACTTTGACTGTGATGTGACAAATGCATTCTACCGTGTCATCCGATTTACACAACAAAAACCCTTGAACCGCTCAAAAGAAGTATATCTTTCTTGAGCGTGTTTTTTCTTTCCAGTGATCAAGGTATTATGTGTAACCCATCGTTTCCATGATACTTTCAAAGTAGCTTTGAAGCTCGCATCTCCTAATGCTAGGGTATTTCTTGTTCACTCGGAGGTGATTCAAGGGAATTAACATCCGATCGATTGCTTTGACCATGAATGTGGGTGTAGTAGGACCCCGGTATGCTCCTATAAGGGGTAGTCACACAGAAATGTGACTTTTGAGCTCCGCGGAGATGAGCCCCTGCCAAACCGCTAAGTCTTTCCCTGGCTTCACCCATAGATCTAGGACTGGTTTTATCCTAAAGAGTGGCAATCTGTGGCAATACAGCAAAGGCAGAAACTGGCAGGTCTCTATAATCCCATGTGTAGTATCTCCACGGGAGTTCAAAAGTCACATTTCTGTGTGACTACCCCTTATAGGAGCATACCGGGGTCCTGGTGTAGTTCGAGATTGAGTAAAGTATGAAATATGAGAAACTGGGGTTTCATGAAGGACTTTAGCGATGAGGTGATGTTAAGCTCAATGGCTGAGTCTCTCGTGGCGGCTACATACGAGCCGTGTAGCCGCTTATCAAGTTAGGGTTTCGGTTAATTTCTGTTTCCAAGATTTGACCATTCTCCAAGTTCAAGTTCATTCTCAATCCAACTACAACTTACCTATCATGTTAAAGTCATCAACCAATCAAAACCATTTAAACATTTACACCATCTCAGGTTTCAATCTTGCCATCGAAATACTAGAAAGTAAGTTCTCAAACAATCCACAATCAATCAACATCATAACTTTTAAAAAACTAACGATTTCTTTCATTTATCAGGGCTTATTCAACTTGCTAAACCTACAACAGAACCATTCGATTTGGTTAACGATCTCAAGACTAATGAAGATAAAGAAGATTCAAATAAAACTTATCGTTTAATTACTAAATATTATAGTGCAAACCTCAGTGTGAAGATTATCGATGTGACAAATAATACTGATCAAGACTTCTCTGATACCGAAACCGAAGACGATCATACCAATCAAGTCTCAATAATCGTTTCTAATCCAAACGATAGCGTTAGTAAACTTTTATAAAAACCATTAAACCGAGTCTCGAAAACTTAATTGGTCATATATTTCGGGGCTTTTGTTCAAAAATAGGAAAACCTAATTGACTTTTTATCAACTTTTAATGATTTTGAATCAGAACTTACAATGGTAATCTTATCAACCAATCAAACTGATCAAAACCTCAATCAAATCGAAGAATCATGCCAAGAATTCGGTTTTGAATTTTATGGTAAGTTACAATAATCTTCAAACCTTTGAAATCAAATGATGATCACTTACGAGTCTTCAACTTTTTGGTGTATAGATCTTGATACCTTGAATGAAGCTTCTATGGCACTTCAGTGTGTTGCATGGCCCAAGATTGAAAAACATGATAGGAAATCATCAGGTTTGGAACCCGATTTATTTGAAGAAAACGAATTGAATAGTATTTCATACGATTCAAACACATCTAATAAATTACCAGTTGATAGTCTTTCTGAAATCGATTGGAGTAATCATGGTAAATCTCTTATAAAATCAACTTCTAAATCATCATCATCATCAGATTTGACAACCGGTTTAGAGAACCAATTCGAAGACGATTTCTCACCATTTGTTTCAGCAGAACTGACTTCAAGTTCAAGTACGACCTTTGATCCATTTAACCAATCAGATTACGATCAATTAGAAGATCAAGAAGGAAATCAAGCAACCGAAGATGAAGAATTAAATGAATTTCTTTTTGGTTCGAATTTAAATCAATCGGGAATTGATGAAATCGATCTAGAAACGCTATGTAATAAGATTAATTCTTTAAAAACTTTGGGATTAAAAATGAATGAAGAAAATCGAAAAAAATTAGCAAGTCAAGTGGCACTCTTAATTGAAAATCAACTTTAATCATCCAAAAAGAAAAAAAAATGTATTAAGAAGATTGTGTTCATTTAAGACAAGATTATTCATCATTTTGTATATTAACGTTTTGTATTACAGATGCATTAAAAGACATTGAAGTGTTTGGTTTGATAATAGATATTCCTTTGCATTTCGAATATGTACTTATAAAGAACAATATCTCTCTATCTTGATTAATTTTACCCAAACGGTAAGTGATCGTGACTTACGTGAATGGTGCAATATTGATCCTCACGAAAACCTCTTTCAATTGAATAAATGATCATGAATTTGACTTGTCAAGTATCTTCATATATACAAGATAAACGTTTACAATACATCAACAATAAAAATGAAAAACAGAACTGATAGAAAAGAGAAATCCCAATTCATCCGATTTCCGAAACAAAGATTCCATCAACGTTTATGATGAGTACGAAGTTGTAAACCTTTTTCACCATGACCAGAAGGACCACTCCAAGTGACTTGATTCATTTTCTTTTTCCTTGCTTCTTCTTCTGCAATAATCGATTCCAATGCACTTTTAGGTGCAGTGATGGAACGAGAAATTGATGATTCAGTTTTTTTGTTGGAAGAAGTTGAAGTTGATTTTAATGGATTGTGTTTTTTGAATGGGTTTTGTTTGGGTTTGGGTTTAGATTGAGTGTTTGAGATCGATAGACTATTTGAGGGTTGGTCTGAGCTTGGATTAGGTGTGGATGTGGATTGGTTCGGTTGGGTGTCTGTATTTGGAAGCGGTTTAGATGAAGATGATTGGATCGGTACGGCTTTAAAACTAAGTTGAATAGGTTCACTAATCCTATCACGTTTCAAAACCTTTTCTTCTTCCTTACTTTGATCATGATCTTTAAATTGATTTGATCTTTGAGTTTCTTCATTCTTAGCTTTTTCAATTTGTTCTGAAATCAATTTTCTCATCCTTTCTTCATCATCCATCTCAGATCTTTCTTTGGCTAGATGTGATGCTTGTTTGGCTAAGGCTTTAGGTGATGAATCGATCCATGAGATATACCAACCTTTTTCGGTTTCATCAACTTCTAAAATTCCTTCTCTACCCATTTGTTTACAAAACTCAGTTAAAGTGATCCATTGAGTTGCATTCATGTGTGAATGATTTTTGTCTGCTATGTATTCTTGATATACCATGTTCGCTAAAACTCGTTTAGTTCCCCACCTATATATTTCCAAGAAAAAATCAAATCAAGTCAGTTTCTGAGATGATTTTTTTCGGGATCGAAATGAATTGTTTACCTTCTTGAAATCAATGCTAAGAAATCTCTTTTGAAATCTTCACTATAAGTATTTATATATTTTCCTGCATTTTCTCCTACTACCAACATTTGTCTTAAATGACCTTCACTCATTGCGTGACATTCTAAACTCCAAAAAAAGAAGATCAATCAGTTTAGTGTAAAAGCATCAATGAAAGATTGTATTGAAACTTACTGAACCCATTTTCATCTCGACACTAAGAATGAATAAGAAATAAGAAAATCAGTTGCGATTGAATTTGATTTTTGGTTTGAATGAATCGTCAACTCAACTTGTTTTTCACAAACTTGACAATACCATCTTAATCTTTGTAATCCTTTAGATTTCATGGCATTTGCGATCGCTTTGGGGGTTCCTTTTTCAGCTTTTGGCATTTTGATTGGATGAGTGAGTGTTCAAATTGGTTGATAGTAGTTGAAGTGTGGTGAATGATTGTCGTTGGTTGGTCAAAGTTGAGATTCCAATTCAGCTGTTGTCAAGTCAAGTCATCGGGTCGGATCTGAGCTGATGTAGTCAAAGAGTACCGCTGATCAGTTACATGTGAGAGAGTGTATGTAAGTTTCTGTAAGCTTGCGCGTCATTTTTGATGATCGAAATTCCAACTGACCCTTCTCGTCTTCTCTTCATCCTCATCTAGTCTTCAAATTCAAATTCAATTCTTTCAAGATGGCAAAACTCCCTGGTACATCTTTAGTAGCACCTATTCCATCTAAAGATCCAAAGAAAAAAGATGATCCATCTGAAAAGAAATCAAACGGTCATCAGGAAAGTAGTGGTGGATTGAATGGTAAAGAAGTGGCTACTAAACTTAATGATAAAAAGAATCAACTTCATGAATTAGTAAGTTCTTCTCTGCTTTTTGGATTGGTTTGGATTGGTTTCGTTTATCTGATCTTTCGTTTTCCTTATAGAGCGAAGAGGATGCTGCTTTGAAGGAAGAATTGGAGATGTTGGTACAAAGATTGAAAGTAAGCATGATCGCTTCATTTCATTCCTATTCTCATTTCTAATTTAAACATCAATTGAGATTTATTCTTCTTTGGAATGATTAATTAGGAAAGTGATCTGAAATTATATAAATCAAGTTTGGAGATGTTAAGAAGTTTAATCAGAACATCTACTTCATCAATGACATCAGTACCTAAACCATTAAAATTCCTTCGACCGTTCTTTAACGATTTACAAGCCATCTTTTATAGTTGGGGTACAAAAGAAGAATATCTTTTAGCTAAAAAAGAAGATGAAGAAGTTAAACAAGAACTTTTGTTGGCTAATCTAAATGAAAAATCAGATGAAAATCAAACTCCGATGGATTCTTCAATGAAGAAAGATGAAGATCAAAATCAAAAACCAGAGAATGTGAACAAGAAAACCGAGGATCAAACTTCAAGTGGTCCTAAACCTCAAACTAATCAAACTTCGACTACTACTAAAACTTCAAAAGATGAACCACCTCCACCTCCATTCCATGTTGATCCAGGCACGGTGCGAGGCGTTTCTACGACCGATCGTACCCTTTTAGCCGATATCATATCGGTCTTAGCTATGACATACTCTGATAGTGGATTACGTGAAACTTTGGCTTTCCGACTTAGGGGTCATAAACTCGATCAAGCTAATCAAGGAGAAGAACCTGGAGTTTGGGGTCATGAATATGTTCGACATTTAGCTGCTGAGATTGGTGAAGCTTATTTGGCTCTTCAATCCAAATCAGATCCAGATAATGATGATCAATTTGAAACGGATGAACAAATCATGAAGAGAAAGGATTTACATCAGCTCGCTATGAAACTGGTCCCATTCTTATTGAGTCATAATGGAGAAGCTGATGCAGTGGATTTACTTTTGGAACTTGAGAGTATTGATGATATTGTACCTTTAGTGGGTGAACGTAAGTTTTCTTGATTGATTTCGATTTGATGATTATAATTTTGACCTTGATCTTCTGTTTTGCTTTTCGGATATCAGACAACTATTCTCGTGTTTGTAACTACATGCTTTCTTGTGTGAACTTCTTGGTACCACCCGATGATACCAACTTCCTCAAAGCTTGTCGAGCAATCTATCGATCTCATTCTCGTTTCTCTGAATCCATGATGGTAGATATCAAGATGGGAGATAAGGATGGTGTTAAAGAGGACTTTGATTCTGCTTCTAATGATACAATGAAGTTACAATTAGCACATCTCCTCGCTCGTCATCAACTTCCAGCCTTGTCGACAGGTCTTACTGAGAACGAGGAACTTAATGAGGTATTGAACAATGCTGCGCTTACGACTCATTTCAAAGCATTTGGAAAGAACTTGAACGTTAGCGAACCGAAATCACTAGAGGAAATTTATAAGTCTCATCTTGAAAACATTCCATCAGCAAATGCTAAAGTAGACTCTGCGAAACAAAATTTGGCTGGAACCTTTGTGAATGCATTTGTAAATGCTGGGTTTGGCAATGATAAACTGATGGTCAATTTGGAAGATGGTCAGAGTTGGATTTATAAGAATAAGGATGATGGTATGATGAGCGCTACTGCTTCTCTTGGAGTTAGCTTATTGTGGGACACAGATGGTGGTATTAGTCAAATTGACAAATATACATATGCTACTGAGGATCATATAAGGGCTGGTGCTTTACTTGCTAACGGATTACTTCACTCTGGGGTTCGAACGGAGATGGACGTAGCTTTAGCTCTCTTGGCAGATCATATCGAGTCTCCTATTATCTCGATCAGGGTTTCGGCTATCATTGGGATTGGAATTGCTTATGCTGGAACGCATCGGGAGGACATTTTGAGCTCTTTACTACCTCATGTTGAAGATATTTCTGTTTCAATTGAAATCTCTGCCATAGCAGCATTAGCTTTAGGTTTTATCTTTGTGGGTAGCGGGAACGGTGATATTGCTCGAACGATCCTTCAGGCCATGATGGAACGTGATACTGAGCATCTCAATAGCCCATGGAGTCGATATCTCGGATTAGGTCTTGCGTTACTCTACCTCGGTCAACAAGATTCAACTGACTCTGCAGATGCGATCATCGAGACTCTTAAAGTAGTCGATCATGCTATCGGTAAACAAACACTGGTCATGCTTGAATCTTGTCTGTTTGCGGGTACAGGAAACGTATTAAAGATTCAATCAATGCTTCATCATTGTGCCGATCATCATTTACCAAGTAGTAATAGTACTGTGAATGAAGAAGAACCGAATAATAATGATGAGAAAAACGACGAGGTACCTGAACAGACTACTTTACATCAACAACTAGCTGTACTTGGAATTGCGATCATTGCTATGGGTGAAGAAGTTGGAGCTGAGATGTCATTACGACATTTTGGACATTTGGTTAGTTTTTTGATTTTCCAAAAGTTTACAAAGTGTTTATTGATGTTCAAACCCTCTTTAAATTTTTTGTGCCTGTTATGCTAATTAGATGCAATATGGTGAAGCACCGATCAGACGTGCTGTTCCATTAGCATTAGGATTGATTTCAGTTTCAGATCCAATCTTACCTGTCTTAGATACACTATCGAAATATTCTCATGATAGTGATTTAAGTGTAGCTCTTAATTCAATCTTTGCAATGGGTTTAGTTGGAGCTGGTACAAATAATGCAAGATTGGCTCAAATGTTAAGACAACTTTCGACTTATTATTATCGTGAACCGGATTGTTTGTTTATGGTTAGAGTTGCACAGGTAAGTTATTGAAATCAGTCTAGGATAATATTTTTTGTGGTAGCTGATTAATTGAATTGATTTCTTAGGGTCTTGTACATTTGGGTAAAGGAACATTAGGATTGAGTCCATTCCATACTGATCGACAAATTATGTCACCGGTGGCTGTTGCTGGATTGTTATCAACCATCTTGGGATTCACTGATGCTAAATCTTGTAAGTTTCTATTAACTTTGATTTAGATTTATATGGTGTACTTTGTGATGAAGCTGATGGACTTGATGGTATGAATTCTAGTGATCTTGGACAAGGCACATTGGTTATTGTTCCTTTTAACACCAGCTATGTATCCTGTAAGTGTTTACTTCATAACAATATACGGGAAAAAAAGGAAACAACTGATATGATTTTTTTTTTACAAAAATAGCGATTCTTAATGACATTTGATTCAGAAGGTAAACCGATCGAAACCACCGTAAGAGTAGGACAAGCCGTGAATGTAGTAGGACAAGCAGGTAAACCTAAATCGATTTCAGGATTTCAAACTCATACTACACCGGTCCGATTGGGTAATACAGAACGAGCGGAATTAGGTACAGAAGAATTTATTTCATATTCACATGTTTTAGAAGGATTAGTGATCTTGGCTAAGAATGCGGGATTTGAATCTAATGAGAATATGGTTTCATAAAAACGAAATTAATGAGGGAAACTTTGTTTATGAAATGAATGTCTGCGTGTTTGGTTTTGTGTGTTTGTGTGGGGAGGAGGGGAAGAGGTTGTAATTTGTCGTTTAGATATCTCTTTGTTTTTTACTTTTTTTAAAATTAGTTTTTTTTGTCAAAAGCATGATATTTTATAAATGTTATGTTTACAGATGAATGATTTCATATATATATATATAGGATGAGATTGATGACAGCATGAATAGGGATGTTAGGACATGAAGGAAAGGTGATATGGCATATAATGATATAACTTACTTGAATAGAAAATGTTAGAGGATGAAGGAAAGGTGAGAGGAAACCAATTCATGGAAGTTGAACAAAACATCTGATTATATATATAACTTGATGATGATGTGCTATAAGGCTAGCTAGTTAGAGAGATGTATTTGCATAAGAACTATGATGACATACATATCATTCACAGGGGCCAAGCTTGATGCTCATATACAAGTGAGCATTGTGCACTTTCCTGAGTTCTCCAAAAAAAATTGTTTCTCTTTCAGATTCCTTGTTGGACTGGATCCAAACACAAAAACAAAATCTTAGTATAAGATGAAAAAGAAACACACACGAAATCTTATGATAAGATTTTGTTAAGAAACAGTCAGATGAGAAAAAGAAAACCATCAGACTGGTGTTCAACATCAGGTTATAAAGAAAACACAAAAATGAAATTATAATGAATGATGTCACAACACCATTGACGTAATGTTCCTAATTGGGCTATATGATGTAATGTAGACAAATTGAGAACAACGAAAATGGACAAGATCAGAAATACATTTATGAGAAATACATTAAATATGTAGTAAGACATTTGAAGCACAAATAAATCCAACATTCCTCCAATTAACAATTTTGGTAGTGCTCAGGTGATCGGGCTGTTTTGCTCAAATTTTGCTGTACATTGCTGGAGAATGCTCATTTCCATCTTGGATGAGCATTCTTTGAGCCCAGTTTCCCAGTTGAGTACTCAGAATCAGTTCATGAGTCACTTCATACTCAGAACAACTCAGCACCTTGTTCAAAATCCCGGATTGGCAGGCTCCAAGGCACACCACTGAGGATCAGCTGAGTGGCTGAGATGAAGTGAGCAGATGGGCCAGCCAGCCCTCCCTCAGGCTTCTTTGCTAAGGAATGAAGCCTCACAAGGAAAGTCTAGTTCATCTGCTCAGTTCTTGTTGATCTTGTAATCAGCTGACAAGCAGGAAGAAAACAGGAAGAAAAGTGAAAGAATTTGAAAGGAAAATTGAAGGAATGTTGAACAAAAAAAAACAAGAAATCAATGCTCAACCCAATGTGAGCATCTATTTTTGACACACTGTGATTACAGTATTGTAACATCAATAGAGAATGTTTTGTTATTTTATCTTGGAATTTATATATGTGACTTGTTGAGGAAGAGAGAAATCAGTCTTTTTTTTTGAATGAAAAATAGAAAAGGAGGAAGGAATTTAAATTGAGTTGAATAATTGGATTGGATTGAAAGTTTATTTGAAATATGTATGTATCATTGTATCACAAGTTTTCATTTCAGTTTACTCAATGTATATTACTTATGTAAGAAATGTTTTTGAGGTTTTTGTTGCATTGCATATTGGATGAAAACTTGGAAAGGTTTTTGATTGCTTGAAGGTTTAGAAGTTGATGAACTTTTGATTGGTTTTGTAGATTTTTAACTTTTTTTATTATTTCTTTGTTGTGCAATTAATTTTGAATAGAAATTTATTTAACTTACATGAAGATTATAAGTAAGTAAACATTATCATGATTGAAAGATGTGATTTGGTTTTCTTTTGAGTGCAGATTCAATTCTAGACTATGATCTAAGAAAAGTTGAGATCTTTATGGCCTTTGTTAATTGGATAAATTGATACTTTGTTGTGTTTTAAATTGATTTGTATGTCCTGTGGATTCCTACTCAGGTGTTTTATCAAAGAAGAATTCAATATTTTGATTTCTTTTTGATTGACCAGACTAGGTTAGATTTTCCTTGCATAAAAAAGATTTGTACAAACTGAGAGAAGATATTCATTTGATCAAGCTGTTTTACTTCCAAATAATTGGAGATCTCATATGATCTGGCTTAAACCTCGATACTTCTTTCCTACAACATATGATTGAAACCACAAGGTTTTGTTTTGTTTGTTCTAGGATATATTGATTGAACCCATATCTTTGAGAAGTCTTTTAATAGGCAAAACAGGTTTAGTAACAGCAATAACAAAAGCAATCCGAGGCCAGACTGTTTTCTATGTAACTGTCTACATATGAACTTTATGGTCATCTTGTAAGCTTACTGGAAGGCTTGGAAGGTCAAGTACATCAATGATGTTCAGGAAAGTTATTTCATCGTTTTTCCTGGTACATCACATTGACCTCAGTGTCACTGAAGTTCAGTTGTGTCTGGCTTGTTTGTTAAAACTGCCTGTCCAATGTCACAAACATGGTGGGTTCGTTGGCTTGTTGAAAAGGTACTGGCTAGCAATTCAGCGCAGGTGGTTGCTTTTTTTGTGACTGCCAGTGCAACATGCTCTTTGAATTCCATCACATGTTTTTTGAACCCTGAAAGACTTGCTTTCCAGATCTTGTCTGGTACGCCTTTCTTGTATTTTCTCTTACTGTGCTTGCCAGCTTCATGGCACGATCTAATGAAGGATAAAGGAGATCATTCATAATGTTTGTTGAGATGAGATGAATAGGTCATTGACTGAGGGGAAGCTCAAGAGGTGCCTGATCAAGAGGAACAGGCTCGTGCAAGCAGTGGTGGGGTATCCAATCAAAACCAAGATGGGAATCCCCTGGAATCCCTGATTTGTGCTGAGCTCAACCTCGAGTGCTGGAAAAGGTTTGCAATAGTGGCACTGAGAACTCCAGCTGGCGGTTCAGAGATGGCTAGTAGAGCAGTAGGCCTTGGTGGCAGTGGTCCTCATGTGGGAGTAGGCCATCCAGGTTGGCCGAGTCTGGAGGGTCACCGTCTATACCTTTGACCGATTTTTGGTTTAAAGACTAGATTGGACTCTCAAAGAAAGCTTTAGACAATAAGACCTTCTCAGTATTGCAAGGGTAAATTGACCAAATGTGTATGTTAATCTACAAGATGGTTTCAAAGAAATACATTGATATTTGTGAAACTGTTAGATAAATAAGACTCCAGTCTGAGAAAATCTTAACTTGATTTCAACTGCGCGAAATGATTTCAGAATGGAAAGTGAATGATCAAATTGAAAAGAATAGAATAAGTTTCAATCATACGAATGAATCAGTGAGATCAGCAGTATCAGTAGATGGAAAATGACTAGAATGATTCATAGTAGATTGAGAAAGATCCATAGGAGTTAGATCACGGTTATCATGATGATTGAAATTAAGATCGAGTTGAGTTTGAGATGAATCATATTGAGAATATGAATCATATTGAGGATGAAGTTGAAATAGATTTAAATTCGATTTATTAAAGACTGAACGTAATTCATTTAACTCTAGAGCAGATAAGTTTGGAGTTTCTAAATGTATTCCATCCAATCCTGATAAACCATTTCTTAATTTCGTTTGACGTACTTCTCTTATTGCTTTTAACATTGATCGTACTTCGGGTAATGATGGTATATCATCTGGTGCACTATTTTATAAATCTATGATTAGAAATTTCTTCATCTAGAGTATTTCTTTGGGGGTCAAGGAATGATAGAACATTTCAAAAACTTACATGTCAATCAATATTTTACTCATCTCCAACCAATGAAATGGTAATTCTGAAAAGCGAACGGTTGAGAGTTCAGAATTTAATGTCTCTTTTAATTCACTTATCAATAACCAATCAGGACAAATGATCTTTCCTTTAAATTTCTTTTTGAATTCAATTGAAATCCAAAATGGAATTTCTATAATTTTTAATGGTTCAAATGGACCTAAGAAATTTGAATTGATTGATCTAAATTTCGGTAATTTTACATTTGGTATAAATTGAATTTTTTCAGTTAAAAGTGTGATGAAATTTAATTCGGTTGGTTCGAATGTGATTCTTTGAAATGGTGGTAATGACATGTTTCTTTTGTTTCTTCGGAAGATTTTCTTAATTGGCTTTCGAGGTTTGTTCTTGCTGATTTCTTCGTGTTTCGGATCTGGATATATCCTCTTGGTCAATAGTATTTCGAGTTCGTCTTCTATTCGGTGTTGTGTTTCGAGGTCGGAGTTTCTTCCAAGGTTGATGGTTGAACTTGACTTTGTCTTGTGGTTGCAACCTTTCAAAGTGAACAGGAACTTGGCACGAAACGATCATCAAGTACAGCCGTTATGACAATTGGTCAAAACTGGGCAAAAACATCAACTTAACAAAATTCATGGGTTTTGAGAGATGAGATCATGAGCATCAAGCTGAGCTCCGACGACTATCCGGCCAGTCCTGGTGATTCCGACACTCGGACCGCCGGTTTTTTTTGGTAACCGGAGCCGCCGGAGAATATCCGGCCGGATTTAAATCCTGGATCCGGCACTCGAGCCGGCCATCCGGCGGATATCCGGCGGTAAGCGCAGAAAAATAAATAAATAAATAAAAACGAAAAAAAAATCTAAAAAAATACTATACCGCCCTGCAGCCCATCCTCATACCTCCTCCTCCAATTGAAATCAAGAATATCTATTTGAATTGAAGACATTGGAAGACATTATTATCATCGATTATACAAAATCACCGCCTTACCTGCAAGATCTTCATTTTTAAAGTTTAATTTAAAGAAACCCCAATCATGTCTGAAGCTTCAAACACCGTTGCTCGGACCCCAACTGACGCAACAACTACTGACTCTCAAGCCGATCAATCCGATATCACCATTATATCAAATCCTAGTAATCAACCAACCAGCTACGTCTGGAAGTTTTTCAAAAAATACCAAGATTACAATCAGTGCTGATTCGTTATGGGAGACGGTACTGAATGTGGAAAACAACTAGCCCGCGATAAGAAGAGTAGCACGACTTCGATGAAGAACCACCTCGAGTCGAAACATGGCGTCCGTGATGAGAAGCTACCCAATCAATCCAACATACTCGCTTCCTTCAAGAAAGTCAAAACCGGGAATGTGGTGAGTTATCCATCTTTCTATCTTTTGACCCGAAGATTAATTGCCTTTTGTCTTTCACTTTTCTTACTTGATACTAACTAAATGATGAATCAAAGAATAAACTCGATATCATGAGCCTCAAGACCAATATCTCTTATTTCATAGCGGACAACGATCTTCCCTTCTCAATAGTTGACAAGGCATCCTTTAAACGCCTTTTAACGCTTTGCAATCCTCTTGTTAGTGGAATGCTTGTTCAGCGACATGCAATTGCTAAGCATACTCGCAAGATCTACTATCACTACGAGGAATACATCAAGAAAGTTTATTTTGGCCCCTGCAAATTCATCGCGATTACCCAAGACACGTGGACTTCGCCAAACAATGTCCCGTTCATGGGGCTTACTGGTCATTTTATTAATACAAACTGGGAGCTTATGGATATATCCCTTGGTATGGCGGAAATTAAAGGTAAGTAGATAAATTCAATTGCATCAAGTTGAATTGACTCTGACACATTGTTTTAGGTGCACATGATGCCCAGAATTTTTGTAGCATCATCATCTCTTATTTGGAAAAGTACGATCTGAAGAAGAAGTTGATTGCCATGACTGCTGACAAGATCAGTACAAACGCTGCGATTGGTCGAGAAATCGGAATGTCAGACAACATCACTTTTGATTACACCACTCAGGTTCACGGTTGCGTCGCTCACGTGATAAACCTCGCAGCCAAAGAAGGCCTCAAGGTATTTGGTGAAGTTCTCGAGGATGAAGACGAAAGCACCAAGCCAACTTCAAACATCCACAACCTTGTTGACCCCCCCCAACGTAAATCAGGTCAATCTCAAGACTATCTATAACCGCTGTCATGGTCTGGTGACCTGTACCCGAGCTAGCCCTCAACGCGCTCAAACCTTTGCCAACATCATCAGGATGCGACATCAACTTGCGGATATGACTTCGAATAACACCACCAACAATCCTACCAACAATAACGTTGAAGGTGAAGACGATGCGGTGGACTATATGATCGAGGATCCGACCATTGGCCACGTTCGTCAAAGTGCACCTGCCGGAACTACAACTAAACTTGTTGTGGATGTTGCCACAAGGTGGAACTCATCTTACCACATGTTCCAAAGACTTCTGCGTCTTTGGGAGTCATGTGATGAATTTTGCAAGGGTCGTGACTTTCAGAAGTACGCCCTGTCGTCGCTTGAGTGGGATTATGTGAACCAGATGTGCAACTTCTTGGAGCCACTCAGCGAAGCGACCGAGATTCTATGCAAGTCCAAGTTTCCTACCATGCATCAAGTTGTTCCGATATATGTGGTAGTGTTAAAAGGATTAAAATCGGTAAGTCACCTTTTTAATTATCTCAACATAGTATTGATAACATTGATTAAAATACCTATGTACAGATTGTTCAACGATATGATCACAATCAATTGGCGCCTGCTTCAAAAAAAAATGATTCATAAACTCGAAGATTATTTTAAGAAGGTCCTGGTCAAACCTGCACCAGTCTGTGCCACGATCCTGGATCCACGTCACAAGTTAAATTATTTTCAAGTGAGTGATTTCATATGCTTCTCTTTTTTACTGAATACTAACCAATTGTATTGACCACAAGGACCGAGCAATGACCTTCTCCAAGTATGACCTCTACTTGTCCGACATTAGGCTTATGTTTGAAGAAGAGGCGCGTAAATATGAAACCAATGAACCCTTGGTCAATCCAGAAACTACCCGAAAACGGCCTACTGGAACATCAACTTCCCAATATTTCAAAGAAGCGATTTTTGGCGCCAGGGACGCTCCAGAGGAGCACTCAATTGCGAAGGAAATTGCTCAATACCTTGGCGATAAACCCGCATCCCGTGACACCAATGTCTTAGACTTTTGGAAACGTCGAGTGAAAAATTACCCAGGTTTGTCCACTATGGCAATGGCGTTTCTAGCAATACCAGCTACTAGCTGCCCGTCAGAGGGGCAGTTTAATAAAACTAAGAGGATCTTGAGTCCTCAGCGTACTAGTCTCTCAAATCTCCACGTTGAAACTCTTCTATGTGTCAAAGATTGGCACCGGGTGTTTGGCCCTGTAAAATTTTCTAGTCTTGCTGAGAGTGATAGTGAAGAAAGTGAATAGATTCCTCAGTGGTTTCATGCTTTTCTCTTGTTTGTTTTTCCATTTTTTTACAAAGTTTGTCTTAAATTTTATGGAAATACACGCCCAATATGCCGGATATCCGGCGAGAATTGATTTTTTTGGCCCCCTCATCCGACTACCGAACCGGCCGGAGTACCCGGCTACCGGATGTCTAAAATGACTTTTCCAACATCCGGATCCGTCGGATGCTCTGACGGATATCCGGGGTCGGAGCTCAGCTTGACATGAGCAGTAAACTTGCTCTTGATCAAAAACCCGGTAATAATCCGGGGCCTTCCCAAACTTCCTACGGATGGACCTTGTTGAGAGTACACAACTGCGCCACAGCAGGTCACGTGTTTGTACAGTCAGTGACAAAAAGTATACGTACCTGTACCATAGCTTGCCTATTGGGCAACTCTCAAAAAGCGTATGTACTCAACATCTGACTACTGATATACCTGAAATTACATGGTCTAGATGGCCACTTATCAGAGTATGTATGATTGAATTTCAGGATTCATAACTGTAGCATAGACTCTAAAATACAGTCACTTTTACCAGGGAGTGTGTCCACCCTTTGCTTTGAGCACAGCCTTGATTTGATCAGGTATGGATGCAACCAAAGCCTGAAGCTTGCTCTGAGGGTTTGCCTTCCACTTGGTATACAACATTTTGAGAACTTTTTTGGTTGTCCGAGTGTTTTTGAGTGTTGATTGACGTCTTTTGCGGTTGTTGTGAATCACTGTATAGACAGTCAACTTGGGATGGCCCAGTTTCTTGGCAATTTGAGTGCCAGGAACCCCAGCTTGGTGCATTAAAACAATAGAGGCCTTTTGAGTGGGCGACAGGCTCCAAGTCTTCATTTTCAGACAGGTTCTGGATGAGGTATGAGGAAGTTATTCAAGAGACAAAGTGCCCATAGACTGGGATTACATATGTACTTGAGGTACGTAAACTTTTTGTCACTGACTGTACAACTGTATTTGTTGTAGTCTTTCCGTTTGTCTCCGGCAGAAGCTTCCTTACCTCACACCGCGGGAAGAGGCCCCCGGATAGCTCCTACCAAAGGTACCAACCAAAAAGGTATCTTTTTGGTTTGGAAATTTCTTGATGTTAGGGACGAAAAAGTTATTTTTTTGACCCCGGTGGGATTGATCATAGCGACCTCGGAGGAATTAATCCAAGATTTCATAGCTTTTCCTAGGCTAGTTTTACATGTTAGGGACTTGCAAGGAATTTTTTGGCATTTTTTCGTGATTTTTTTGAAAATGTTACCAACAAAAGAGGTATTCTTGGGCCCCCAAACCTTTAAATTCAGGTATGAATAACTGAATTTTCAAGGTTTTTTTGTCGGTATGCTCCATAGAAGCTATCCGTGGGCCTGCGGGAAGTAACAAGTTTGAAACCCGATTGAGCAGAATTTCGGTGTCCAGGTTCGAAATTTCCTCGAATCTTGAAATTCGTTCACAACTCGTTCACATTAGGTTTGCCAATTCTCCTTGAGTTGTCCTCCGCTGGCCCTGTGTGTGTGCAACACATCATAAACAACAACAACACCTTTCAACATCACTCACCTTCACCCTCACTTGTATTAGTAAGCCTGAGGATCTGTGACAAGGGGAGAGATAGTCTGACGGTTAGAATCAAAGGTTTTGAAGACAATGTGTATGTGTGTATGTGTATGTATGTAATGGTGAACTCGAGGGAAATTGGCAAACGTAATGCTAACAAGTTGTGAACGAGATTGACAATTTGAGGAAATTTTGAACCCGGACACCAAAATTCCGCTCAAGTGGGTTTCAAACTAATAGATCCCCGCAGTGTCAACCACTGTGGAAGCTGAAGCTTCAAAGTACGAACTGACAAACTTATTGTCCTATACATTATAGGTAATGCAATTAACCACTGTGGAAGCTGAAGCTTCGGAGTACAAACTGACGAACTTATCGTCCTATACATTATAGGTTATGAGCTGCGTTACCAACTGATACAACTTGCTTATTGCTCA